AAGTGAGGAGAAGCAGGGGAGGAGGGAGAATCAAAATAAGGGAAGGTTATTTAGTTGGCTGTGTCCAGGTAGCAGTCTGGTCGGCTTCTGCCATGAGGCCACATGAAACGAGGGCAGTTGAGGAGGGGGAGGGAAGGAGAATTTTCCCTTGCTCCGGCTTACCACGGTGAACATTTCACTTAAGTGCATTAATTCCTCTGCACTACTAGTTATGCATCATGGGTGACAAGCAGATCCCAAGCGTCTTGTGGAACAGGGAAGCTGTGGGACAGGTGGCGAGAGGCATGCAGACTGTCCATCACACAGTCTGCTCACAGGAATCCATAGAGGAATAAAATAAATACTGGTTATGATCTTACTTTTTTTTCTAACAAATACTTGCCACTCTTACAATAGGATATCCAGTGTGGGTTTGGGTTCTTTTGCTTGCAAAAAATGTATACCTACTCAAGCAGTGAAAGGGGCCTGGGCCAGGGTTGTCTTGGGGAATGACAGCGTGGGTCGTGATGATGCCAGGTCTCAGGAAGGTGCAAGAACCAGATGCACCAGGTAACCCAGGGCTCTCATCTCTGCACACACAAGGTGTCTACATTTTTGTTCCTTTCTGAAGACTGGCTTTGTTTATGTCCATAGTCTTTTTGGAGACAGATGAAGCCAATCCCTGGTGTCTGAGCTTCACATTTACAGCAATCAAAGATAGAACCTAAGCCATCAAAGATAGAACCTGTCTGTCTTAGCTCCAATTCCAAAGTCAGAGATGGAAACACTGATTGGTCCAGGTTGACCAGGTGTTCCCCTCTGATCCAGTCATCCCTGTGGAGTGAAAGGGCTCAGCCATTTCTGAAATGACTCGACGTGGCCTAGAGGCAGTGGAGGGGAGGTTACCAGGGAAGTGGGGGATACTGTAGGCGGAGGTACTGACTGACACACGACTCTCCACCTCTAGGCTGCTGGGAAGCTCACAATGCACACTCATGGTCCTTCCAATATTCACTCCCCAGTGATCCCCCTGCAGCCACAAATGCATTTCCTCCCATCCCCTCCGCCTCCAGCAGGAGACTCTAAGGCTGTGCCCAGCTTTTGCGCTTACTGGAGATATCTCCAGGTCTTTTGCTGGTGGTCACATCCTCGGTGTGGTCATGATCCAGGCCAGGGAGTACAGCAGAAGACTAAGTGCAAAATTATTTAATCGTCCTCATGACAGTTGATGCAAAGTCTTGGAGGGGAAAAAGAACGGCCGATGAATCCAACATGCCCATTTTTAAGAACCTGAATGGAGCAGATGCTTCGACGAATCCTCTGGAGATTGGTCATAGTGCAGTGTCTGGGTCATTTGTGGACAGGGTTAGGGAGATAAACGGGGTGAGCAGTTCTCATGGGCATCATGCTGGTTGACTGGGCAGTGGTGTGAGTTCCTTGCTTGGCTTATTTGTTTATGCCAAGTTCTGCCCACAGGAAAGAATTCCAGACTCCAGGGTTCTTCTGGAGGGTTCTCTGTTGGGGGAGTGTTTAGGTGCTGTTCAGTTTTACCAGTGGTATTCACTTCCTTTGGGTGTTGTAACAAATCACAAGCTTAGTGGCTTAAAAGAACACACTTTTGCTATCTAACAGTTCTGCAGGTTAGAATTCGGGCATGGATCTCCCCGGGCTGAAATCAAGTCAAATGCATTCAAATGCAGTCACAGCTGCATTTCTTCCTGGAGGCTCTTGGGAGTATCTGCTCCGTTGCTTCTTTGAGCATTTAGGGGCAGCTGCATACCTTGGCTCCTTCAAAGCCAGCAACATTGCATGTCTCTGCCATGTTTCCTGTCGTGCCTTTCTCTGACCCCCTGCTACCCCTCTCTTCCACGTTTAAGGGCTCCTTATGATTACATTGAGCTCTCCTGGATAACCCATGGTAATCTCTCCATTTGAAGATCAGCTGATTAGCAATCTAGGTCCATCTGCCACCTAATGTAACTGAACATGCCCAGGTTCTGGGGATTAAGTCATGGAGCTCTCTGGGGGCTGGTTGTCTGCTGACCACAACAGGTGTTTTCTGTGGCTCCAGCGCTTGGGTCTGAAAATCGTCTGAGTGATTGAGCCAAGTGGCAGGCTTGGAGTGGTTCTGGTGCTTCAGCTTCCACAGGACCTGAGCTGATTGCCTTGTAGATGCCATTTTTGAGGATGCTCTTTTCTTCCAGTTAAACAGGAAATGATGTCATCCAGAGGTTGGGCATGCCTCTGTAGGTGTCCTGCAGGAAGCCTGTGGACTCTGCTCATTCCCATAGCCTAGAGGTTTCTAAGCATGGTCCAGGACGGGGGTGGAGGTGGGGGTGGGGAGGTGGGGCTCAGATCCTTTCAGACAACCCTAGAGGTATTTGCAGACGACATGATAGTATACCTAGAAGACCACATCACCTCAGCCCAAAAATTCCTGAAACTGATAAGCAACTTCAGCAAAGTCTCAGGATATAAAATCAATGTGCAAAAATCACAAGCATTCGTCTACACCAATAACAGACTTAAAGAAAGCCAAATCAAGAATGAACTGCCATTCACAATTGCTACAAAAAGAATAAAATACCTAGGAATACAACTCACAAGGAACGTAAGGGACTTCTTTAAGGAAAACTACAAACCACTGCTCAACAAAATAAGAGAGGACACAAACAGATGGAGAAACATTCCATGTTCATGGTTAGGAAGAATTAATATCGTGAAAATGGCTATACTGCCCAAAGTAATTTACAGAATCAACGCTATCCCCATCAAGCTACCATTGACTTTCTTCACAGAACTGGAAAAAACCAGCATGAACTTCATATGGAACCAAAAGAGAGCCCGCATAGCCAAGTCAATTCTAAGCAAAAAGAACACAGCGGGGGGCATCACACTACCGGATTTCAAACTATACTACAAGACTACAGTAATCAAAACAGCATGGTACTGGTACCAAAACAGAGATATAGACCAATGGAACAAAATAGAGGCATCGGAGGCAACACAACATATATACAACCATACAATCTTTGATAAACCTGACAAAAACAAGCAATGGGGAAAGGATTTCCTGTTTAATAAATGGTGTTGGGAAAACTGGCTAGCCATGTGCAGAAAGCAGAAACTGGACCCCTTCCTGACACCTTACACTAAAATTAACTCCAGATGGATTAAAGACTTAAACATAAGACCTGGCACCATAAAAACCCTAGAAGGAAATCTAGGCAAAACCATCTAGGACATAGGAGTAGGAAGGACTTCATGAACAAAACACCAAAAGCATTGGCAACAAAAGCCAAAATAGACAAATGGGACCTAATGAAACTCCACAGCTTCTGCACGGCAAAAGAAACAGTCACTAGAGTGAATCGGCAACCAACAGAATGGGAAAAAATTTTTGCAGTTTACCCATCTGACAAAGGGCTGATATCCAGAATTTACAAAGAACTCAAACAGATTTACAGGAAAAAAACAAACAAGCCCATTCAAAAATGGGCAAAGGTTATGAACAGACACTTTACAAAAGAAGACATATATGAGGCCAACAATCATATGAAAAAATGCTGATCATCACTGGTCATCAGAGAGATGCAAATCAAAACCACATTGAGATACCATCTCACGCCAGTTAGAATGGCGATCATTAAAAAATCTGGAGACAACAGATGCTGGAGAGGATGTGGAGAAATAGGAACACTTTTACACTGTTGGTGGGAGTGTAAATTAGTTCAACCATTGTGGAAGACAGTGTGGCGAGTCCTCAAGGCCTTAGAAATAGAAATTCCAATTGACCCAGCAATCCCATGACTGGGTATATATCCAAAGGACTATAAATCGTTCTACTATAAGGACACATGCACACGAATGTTCATTGCAGCACTGTTTACAATAGCAAAGACCTGGAATCAACCCAAATGCCCATTGATGATAGACTGGATTGGGAAAATGTGGCACATATACACCATGGAATATTATGCAGAATCAGAAATGACGAGTTCGTGTCGTTTGTAGGGACATGGATGAATCTGGAGAACATCATTCTCAGCAAACTGACACAAGAACAGAAAATGAAATACCGCATATTCTCACTCATAGGCGGGTGATGAAAAATGAGAACACATGGACACAGGGAGGGCAGTACTAAACACTGGGGTCTATTGGGGGGAAAAGGGGAGGGCCAGTGGTGGGGGGGGAGCTGGGGAGGGATAGCCTGGGGAGAAATGCCAAATGTGGGTGAAGGGGAGAAAGGAAGCAAAACACACTGCCATGTGTGTACCTATGCAACTGTCTTGCATGTTCTGCACATGTACCCCAAAACCTAAAATGCAATAAAAAATTAAAAAAAAAACCAAAAAATAAACTGTGCTCACAGTTGTCCTGTGCGCCTGTCTCCAGGGCGCCCTGCCACAGATGGAGCGTGTTTGTATATTCCTATGTTTTAAATGTGTCTTGCTTTTAATTTTTGTACAGTAAATATCAATGACTGTAACCTCTGCACACAAAGGTTCTTTGGAATCCTTGATCATTTTTAAGAGTGTAAGGGGTTCCTGAGAACTAAAAGTTCAAGAACCACCGCCACAGCCAATTAACGACTCCAGGCTCCAGGTTTGGATGGGATGCTGTCTGGAGGATCACCCCAGCCCATAAGCTCAGTGGAACAGGAATTACCTCCACTTGGAAGGTGTCCTCAGCCCTCACCTTCATCCAGCATGGAGGCAGCTGTGTATCCTCCAGGAGGGGCACTTGTGTCCTCTCGGCTGCTGAGACTGATCTGGGGATTGATTGCTCGGCATCCACTAGGAGTCAGAAAAATCCAGATTCCTGTGCCTTTTGTGCAATGGTTCTGATGCAATGGGTTTGCAGCAGGCTTGGCAATCAGTATTTCCCCAAGCATCCCAGGTAGTTCAAATGCCTGCCGAATCTACCAGCTGTGCCCCTTTTGGGAAATCAGGAGACAGAGGTTGTGGAGGGATTCTAAGTTCACCAAGAAATGGAAGGAAGAGAAAGCAGAAGGGAAGCAGGAGGGGCTCTGAAGGCAGAGCTCACCGTGAGTCCTTACCAAGGTCTTCCTGCTCCAGGGGTGAGGAATCTGCTGATTTCTCTCTGCCTCTTGCAAAAAGGCAGAAAGAAACCAAAATGATGAATAGTGCATGTGTCTACTCATGCGACAGTGCATATGTCTACGTGTGTCTACACACACTGAAAGACTGAGCAGTGGGGTAGGACGAGGCAAATAGCGAAAATAAAGACAACTGACCTGGGAGTGAGAGGCTAACAAATAATTGCCTTTAACCAAAACAATCAGAAGAAATGAGGACCTATTTGAAAGTTTGTTGTCATACAATGAGAGAAAGTATAGATTTTTATCTGGGAGACTTCAAGCCAGGTGGTAAGAAGCTCGCCTTGCAGCTTGGCAGCTCAGTGTCTGTGAAGCATAACGAAGGAAGTATTTTGACCTTTTTCTCGATTGGTTGTTATACATGAACATTCTTTTTAGGGCAAGTAGAACCGTTAGGACTGATTTGTCTGGAGCTGATGGGTTTAATTTCAACGAATCATGCTGACAAGGACGTGAAGCTTATGTCTTGTGTTTCAGTTATGATTAGAGCCAGCACTTCTAGCACCTCAAGGAAAACAGGATGACTTCAGTGTTGGCCACATGGTTATGGGTGGATGGCTGTGGGAACATCTAAACCATGGCCTCCAGTTTCACTTTTCTATAACGCTTCTTTCCCCTCCTTGACCGAGAAGATTCAGAGCTCAAGATGATGTTGGAATGATGGAGTTCAAGATATTGATCTGTTATTACAGATAACGCTGATTAGAAGTCTGTAGCCATTCACACATCCCCAACAGCTGGATGGAAGGAGCCTCCCTCTTAGGGGCTGTCCTGGTAGCACGGATGAGAGAAGACAGACAGCAACTGCTTAGAAGATGGGGGAGAGAGCCAGCACAGTATACTTCTTTCATAGTTGCAAATCAGAAAATCCACTTACCTTGCTTCTTCACACAGGCAAGGGATGGGGAGAGAGGCCAGGAGTGTGAGTCTACCGGAAGTTCCCCCACAAGGTAGTATGAGGCATGAGGAATAACTAACATTCAGCTCCATCTACTCCTTAATCTCTTTAATAAGGTTCCACTCTAGGCCAGACACAGTGCTGGGGGCTGGGGCACACCTGTGAACAAGACACATACGTGACTTTAAAGAGCTCAAGATCAGGTGCAGTTTTCTTCAGAAATGTGTTTCCCAGACCACTGACATCTGAATCATCTTGATGTTCACTCAACACATGGGCCTTGAACACCTGCTATGAATCAGGTGCTATTCTGGGTGCTGGGAATACAGCTGTGAACACGGCAGACCAAGACCCTTCCCTCCTTACCTACCATTCTAGTGGGCATAGTACGCACTATGTCAAAGGCTATAGGCAAAAATAAGTGAAGCCAGGGAGCTGGAGAAGGTTGCAGAGAGTGGGTGGGAGGCAGAGCTTGCTGCCTGATATGGTGGGGATCAGGAGTTGGCTCACTGGTAAGGGAGCATTTGAGCAGGGACCTGAAGAACTTGAGAGAATCAGGTGGCCATCTGGTGAAAGGGGTTCCAGGATGTGGGAAGATCATGTGCAAAGGTCCTGTGGCCTAAGTGTACTTGGCATCTTAATGGAACAGCTGAGGGAGGCCGAGGGCCTGGAGGGGAGTGAGCAAAGAGGAAAAGTGGTAGGAGACGGAGTAAGAAGGGTACGGCGACGATCGTGGGGGCTAACAGGAAGAACATGAACTGACCTCCATTCTGAAAGGACAGTCCTGGTCTCTGTGGGAAAGTAGAAGGGGGATGATAGAACCATCTGGGTGCTACTGCAGTGGTTTGGGTGAGAGATGATGGTGGCGTGGCCCAGAGTGGTAGTGGTGGATTAGCTAAGAGGTGGTCAGATTCGGGATGTATTTTTGCAGCAGAGCTGGTGGAGTTTGAGGGTGGGTTAGAAGTGAAGGGGGATGAGAGAAAGCAGAGCTCAGGATGACCACAAGTCTGGTTGCCTTTGCACTGGAAGGAGGGGGAACACTGAAAGAGGAGGAGGTTTGGGATGGAAATGGCGTGTGATTTGGGAGATGCTGAGTTTGATGCCTGATCTGAGACATCCACACAGAGAACAGGGAGTTGGACAGCTGTGTCTGGAGTTGGAGGAACGGTCAGGGTTGGAGATAAGAATTTGGAGGTTCAGTGGGGTCACCTGGGGGTCAGAGTGAATGGAGAAGGGCTGAAGCCTGTGCTCTGAGCCAGCATGACATCAGAGAGCTGAGAGGTGGAGAGACTGAGGAGAAGCCAGCAGGTCAGTGCAGGGTCAGGAGACAGAACGTGCCGGTTGAGTGAAGACCGGGGATCAATTTTGCCAAATGCAGTTGATCAGTAAGACGAAGATCAATAGGCTTTAGCCATGTGAAGTTCCTGTGCCTTGATGAGCTGTTTCTATGTAGCTGAGGGGACACAAGCCAGGTTGGGGGGAGTTCAAGAGAATGAAGAATGCAGTGGAAGTCGTGGAAACTGTTCTTTAGAGGCATTTGATGAGAGGGCAGCCGCTGGGGCTGGTGGTGGAGTGCTGTGGGACCAAGGAGGGGTTCTTTGATTTCACACGTAGTCGTTGAGCACCTACTGTGTTTCAGGCTCGGCTTTACGAGTTGGGTTACACTGTCAATGAAACTAAAGAATCCATGTGCTGGGGAAGCTTACAGTCCAGTTGAGGGTGGACAATAGCATTAAACCAACACATTTCGTTTATATGTTGGAAGATGGTTCATACTATAGGAAGAAAGAAACGAGCAGGCGAGGAGCCTCAAGCATGTGTGGTGGGGGGACTGAAATTTTGAATAAGGTGGGTGAGTAGGCCTCATGATGAAGGTGATGCTGGAGGAGGACTTGCCGGATGTGTAGGCTTTGGGCATATGCACATATAGGGGAGGCCTTGCTGCAAGGGAACAGCGGGCCAGAAAGCCCTGGGTTGGAGTGTAGGTGCTGGGAGGGAGTTGCGAGGAGAGACCAGCAGGGGGAAAGAACTAGGGTGTCTGTGTAAATGGGGTGGGGTTCTAGATGCCTTCGTGGAGATGTTGGCTTTGACTCTGAGTGGAACTGGGAGCCAATGGAGGGCCGAGGAGGCTGGCTAGGTGAGGGTAGAGGGGTGAGACCGGGTGGCAGATGTTGTGTTAGCCAGGTTTCTCTAGAGAAACAGAATCAATAGGACGTGTATTTATGTCTAAATATGCATACACAGTCATATTCACTTAATGATGGAGAAACACTCTGATAAATGTGCCATTGGGCAATTTGATCATTATGTGAGCATCATAGAGTGCGCTTATGAACCTGGAGCTACAGCCTACGTATCCCTAAGCTATATGGTGTGGTCTATTGCTCCTAGGCTACCAACCTCAACAGCAGGTTACTGTACTAAGTACTGTGGGCAACTGGAACACAGTGGTAAGTATTTGGGTATCTAAACACAGAAAAGGCACAGTAAGCATATGGCATTACAATCTTATGGGACACTCATATGGGGTCCATTGTTGACCAAAATATCATTATGTGGTACATAACTGTATATATACACACATATATACACAGACACACACAGAGACTGGAGACCAGGGAAAGCAGATGTAGCCTGAGTCCAAAGACCGTCTAGAGGTGGAATTCGCTCTTCCATGGAGACCTGTCTTCATTGTAGTAAGGCCTTCAGCTGACTGGATGAAGTCCAGCCACATTCTGGAGGGTCATCTCCCATACTGGAAGTCTACCGATCTGAATGTTAGTCTCATCTGAAAATGTCTTCACAGTAGCATCTAGGCTAGTGCTTCACGAAATATCCGGCTATCCTGCCTGGCCGAGTGGACACAAGAAATTAACCACTGCAGTGGTGATGAAGGGTTCTGGGCTCTGGTGCGAGACTTCTCTCTCTCAGCCGGAGGCAGGTGCTGTTATAAGCTTGAAGCAACAGTGTGTCTGCGCATGAAAGTGCTCCATATCCTCCCCTCCATAGGGACGATGCTTGGCCCCTTGGGCCTCAAAGCCACACCTGCTGTTCCACGCAACTCTCACAGAGTCCCGCATGGAGCTTATCTACGCAGCCTCTTCCCACGGGAGTCAGAGCTGAAGCAGGTTTAGGGCTTGGAATGTTTCCTGGGAGAGTCACCTCTCTCTCTCTTCCTCTCATGATTCTCCTCTTGGGTCCTGTTGGAGGCTATTTCCCAGTGGCCAAAATAAGATAAAGGGAAGAAACCCCCTCAAAACCCTCCTATAATTCAACTCTTAATGAACCCTCCCAGCCCCCACCAAGGGTGTCCCCAGCTCATCTCTCATATCCAGATGTGTCCAGGTAGGGTTGGATCCCATTTGGGGGTGGATCGCATCCTTGGCTGGGACCCAGGATGCTGATGTGTGAGATCTTGGAAGATTCCCTCTGCCTTCAATGGAGAAATTGGAGCTGCTCGTCTGGCAGTGAAGCGGTGAGGCAAGAAGGGGAGGATTCAGTCAGAGCCAGGAAGGAGAGAGGAGGAGGAGAGGGGAGAGAGGAGAGTTAGGAAGGTCTGTGTGCAAGACTTGGGGCAGCTTGGGGTGTGTGAGAACGAGGGAGCAAAGGATCTTGGACTTCCAGCCTCCCGAGTGGTGAGAAAGGAATTTCTGTTGCTTATAAGCCACTCAGTCCATGGTAATGTGTTAGAGCAGTCTGAGTGGGCTGAGGAAGGAGCTGGGGACAGAGATGGGAGAGGCATGTGTGTCCCATGTCCTTCACGGTGGCTCTTCCAGTGAGGTCCCAGAGAACCTGGAGATGTTGTGGGCAAGCCTCCACCTGAGTGATCACTGCATGGACAAGCAGAGGCTGAGAAGTTACAGCTCCTAAAAGGATGCTGGAAATACTGATCTTTTACCTTTCCCAGTGATTCCTAGAGTTGCAGTTAACAAGTCTTCCTACCAAGTCTGCTAACAGGAGTGATACTAATGAATCGTTTCCAAAACACCTATACGTCCCTCCTGAGCAACAGAATAGCTTGGGAGTAGCCCCACCTTGTGGAGAAGTCTAAAAATAGTTTAGTGACATACGTTCAAGTTTAGGGAATTTGAATTTTAGTATTTTTACTCTCCAGAAAATACCTTGAAGTTTTATATAATCAGATAAATATATTTTATGTGACACTTATAAATGTTATTTTTCAATCAGTATTTTTTCAACACGTCAATATGGTGATGAAGTCACATCATCAGTTGATATGAAGCATTTGTAACTGCATGAATACAGTAATCCCAACTTATCCTCATGTATTCCAGCACCCTCAGTGGGTGCCTAAAACCATAGCTGGGACCAAATCCGACACACACACACACACACACACACACACACACACACATACATATATACATACATACATATGTATACACACACATTTTTTTTGTTTATTCCTATACATAAATACCTATGTATAACGTTCAATGTAGAGATTAGACACAAAAAGAGATTAACAATAACTTAGTGTAAAATGGAACAATTGTTACAATATACCTTAATAAAAGTCAAGTGTGGCCTCTCTCTTTCAAGACATCTTACTGTATTATGCTCACCCTTCTTGTGATGGTTTAAGATGTTACCGCAGAAAGCTACTGAGTGATGGACGGGCAGGTAGTGTATACAGCACGGACACGCTGGACAAAGGGATGATTCACCTCCTGGGTGGGACACAGCAGGACTGTGAGTGAGGTTTCATCACACTACTCAAAATAGTGTGCAATTTAAAATGTATGGATTGTTTATTCCTGAAATTTCCCATTTAATATTTTTGGACAACTGTTGGCCGTAGGCAACTGAGGAAAGTGAAACTGTGGGTAAGGGAACTCCTGTGCCTTGTAAGAAAAAGCCCACGTGGCTTACCCTTAATTTTTTGCACAAAGAATTATTTTCATAATTCGAATGCATTCCCTTATGCTAGTTTTAACGGAATCTGGGACAAAATGTGCCTGTGATTATCTTGGACTTGGACTTCCATGTCTCACGCTGTAGTTCTCGCCTCAGAATTTAGTTCATTTTTCTTCTTTATTTTTTTTAGAGACAGAGTCTTGCTTTGTTTCTCAGGCTGGAACGCGATGGCATGATCACTGCAGACTTGAACCCCTACACTTAAGCAATTCTCCTGGCTTGGCCTCCCAAAGTGCTGGAATTACAGGTGTGAGCCACTGCGCCTGGCAGAATTTAGTTCTGATTCTAAATCTTGTGCAAGTTTAGATGACTGGAGGACCAAAATATAATTTTGGTTCTAAATGCAAGATAGTTGCAGAGGAGTCCGGGAAATGTAGGTTTTAGCTACAGGCTACTATGATAGAAAAAAACAAGTACTAGAACGGTATTAGAATGGATGCTGAATGAGCCAGTCTTAAGTAGCCACTAGATACTGAAGACTGCAGAACAGAATTTTATAGAAGGCTGAAATTCGGAGATACGTACTTGTACAACCATACTAACTGTTGGAAAGTTGAATAGTTCCATTCTATATGGTAAGTAAGCCATGCCCCAGAACGCTTACATGCCCCATTTTTGCCCTGTCGATTCTCTTTTCTCATTCATGATCCTTTAAATTTCTCAATCATCCTGCAAGGCCGGGACTAAATTAATCCTGGCACAGAGCCATGGACTGGCATCTGTTGTTTGTTGGTGCCACGAATGATTTGGCTCTGTGTCCCCACCCAAATCTCATCTTGAATTGTACTCCCAGAATTTCCACATGTTGTTGGAGGGACCCAGTGGGAGATAATTGAATCATGGGGGCAGTCTTGCCCATACTGCCCTCGTGGCAGTGAATATGTCTCACAAAATCTACTGGTTTTATAAGGAGAAACTCGTTTTGCTTGGCTGTCATTCTCTTTCTTGCTGCTGCCATGTGGACATTCCTTTCACCTTCTGCCATAATTGTGAGGCTTTCCCAGCCATGTGGAACTGTAAGTCCAATAAACCTCTGTCTTTTGTAAATTGCCCAGTCTCAGGTATGTCTTTATCAGCAGTGTGAAAACGGACTAATACAGTGCCCACATTCATCAATGCCCCTACAATTCTGCCTCCTGGATGCCTGCCACTACATTTGCTCCCTCAGTCCCTGTGGACTCCAGAGGGCCAGTCTGTGCCTCATCAATACTCCCCAGCTCCTGAGAAGCCGTGGTCCCTACCAGCCTCCTGGCCACTGATACCAGCGTTCCGTGGCTTCCGAGACATTGTGTGTCTCCTGGCAAGGTGGGCTCAGAGGCAGTGTGGGAGTAGTGGTGGTAGTAGTGGAACCTTAGTGGGCAAAGGTGCTCATTGGGGCCTGTGAAGCTGTGGCTGCCAACTTTCGGAAATTGTAGTCTCTTTAGCACTTTGGATATAAAAAGTCAGGAAAAGAGGGTGAGTAACAAAGGTGGTCATGCTGGCACCTGTACAATGTTTCAACCTCCCTGGGCGTGATGGATGGGACTTATAGGGGGTGGTTTTGGGTCAGGAAATCTCCTTTTCACCATCCCTGTTGAACTTGACCTTGATTAAATGGGACAAGTTCATTAAAACCCATCAAATGCCATCCTATCATAGGTATTAATGAATATGTGTTGTCAACCCAAATAACAGAGAGGGAGATTCTGCAAAATAAAATGATGTTGCTGGGCATGGTGACTCATGCCTGTAATCCCAGCACTTTGGGAGGCTAAGGCAGGCAGATTGCTTGAGTCCAGGAGTTTGAGACCAGCCTGAGCAACATAGTGGAATCCCATCTCTACAACAAATACAAAAAATTACAGGTGGTGGCGCTCACCTGTAGTTCCAGCTACTTGAGGTGGAAGGATTGCTTGAGCTCAGGAGGCAGAGGTTGCAGTAACCCAAGATCGCACCACTGTACTCCAGCCTGGGTGACAGAGTGGGGCCCTGTCTCAAAAAAAGAAAACAAGAAAGAAAGAAAGAAAGAGAATGATGTTTGCTCAGGAATAGGGATCTCAGTGGGAATATGTGTGTGTAGTAAACTAAGTACTTATTCAGGAAGGTAAAGGAAGGCAAAAGTTTTAAAAGGAAAAGTGAGGATGATGACATAATTGTGTTTAGATAATTATCTTTGGCCACAGGGACCAATAAGAGTGGCATCCGTTGGAGGTCAGGCAGGCAGTTGCTGGAAAGATGTCCTTGCAGAATTGTTTTGTGGTTGCAGAAGCTTTTATGCAAGGCTGTGGATTTTGCAGTCTTTTGTGGTCATTCTTGCAATCAGGCATTCGCACATGAGAACCTTCTGTTTATGGCCTTCTTTGGCTCAGTTTTTTTTTTCTTTTTTAACACAAGTGACTCCATTTTGATTCTGACAACTTGCACAATGTATATCTCTATACGTCTATATATATATCCTTATTTCACTGCTCTGTGCCGAGTGTTTTCTAAAAGAAGATTGACTCATTTGGGTCCTATAATTAACATCCTCCTCCTCTCCATTTTACAAATGAGGAAACTGAAGCACAGAGAAAGTGCTTGAAGCCACAGCAGAAGAGGGGGGCAGCTCAGTGACAGAGCCATCCCCTGAGCACACCCATCTCATGGGTTTGAGCTTGTGAATTGTGACATGGCAACAAACACTCCTGAAGACTTAGTGGTTGTATTAGTTTCATACTCCTACTGTAACAAACCTGGTGGCCTAAAGCAGCCCAAATTTATTTTCAGACAGTGCTAGAGGGCAGAAGTCCAAAGTCAGTTTCACTGGGCTAAAATCAACATGCTGGCAGGCATTCCTTCTGGAGCTTCTGGGAGAGAATCATTTCTGCCTCTTTTTCAGCTTCTCAAGGTCATCTGAATTCCTTGGCTCCTGGCCTCCCCCGGCATTGCTGCGACAGCCCTTCTTTCATCACATCAACTTTTCTCTGCCCTTGCCTCTCCTGTCTTCCACTTATGGAGGTCCTTGTGATTACACTGGGCCCACTGGATAATCCAGGGTTGTCTCTCAGTCACTGAATGCTTAATCTATTCACAAATGCTAAGCCCCTCTTGTCATGTAAGGATATCTATTTACAGGCTTCCAAGGTTAGAACATGGACATTTAAAAAAATGTTTATTTATTTTTAGAGATGGGATCTTGCTATGTTGCTCAGGAACATGGGCATTTTTTGGGGGTCAAAGTAATAATGTTCAGAGTCTAAAAAAATGGCAGATTGGAGGCAGGACTAAGTTGCAGCTCCCACTCAAATGGACAGAGCAGCATGTGGAGACTCACATCATGAATTTTGCTCCAAGAACTACCACAGAAACATATGAGGAAAGCTGAGGGAATCCACAGACCCTCTGAAGGAACTGGCTCGCTGCTGAGGCTCCATAAAATAGCTGAGAAATTCCAAGTGCCCAAAGTGTGAGAGGGGGAATGTCTGCTCCTGAACACTCATCCTCACTGGGGAACCTGAAGGTCCAGATCATAGGAGAAGGATTTGACTTTACCTAGAATTGAGATGAATTGAGAGAGCCAAGTGAAATATAGAGGTAGAGGAAGCAGTGGGAAGAGCCCGGTGGGTACTCTCGGTCCCCAGGGAAGCCATTTCTGACTTTGTTTCACAGGGGTCCTTGGAGAGAGCTGCCAGTGGAATTGGGTAAAGACCACAGAGAGGAGGGAACTTCCAGCTGAACTTTGTAACAATTTCGATCAAATGTGAACTTTCCTGAACAGACTCCTGGGAAATGGGAGAATGAGGAGTGCAGCTATGAACACAGAAATTGCGGCTGGTAGGGAGGCATGAAACCTGAAAGCCCTGCTTGCTTTATCAGTAGGGAGGCTTGTAGCCTGAGAAAAGTTCTCAGCCCTGTTCACCGGCTGTCTGGAAATAAACTTGGTGCTGTTGGAGAACCATGGTAGAAGTGAGACTGGCTTTCAAGCTGCATGGGAGCGGGGTGAAGCCTGTCATTGCTGGCTTTTTCCCACTTCCTTGACAACCTGTATGACACAGGAGAGGCAGCCATAATCCCCCTGGGAATGTAACTCCACTGACCTGGGAACCACATCCCCATCCTCCATAGCAACCACAGCAAGCCCTGCCAAAGGAGAGTCTGAGCTCAGACACGCCTAACCCTGCCCCCACCTGATGATCTTTCTCTACCCACATTAGTAGCTGAAGACAAAAGACATAATCTCTTGGGAACTCTATGGCCACACCCACCACCTGAGAAATGCTAATGCTTATCCAGGTGACCCTAGGCCAAGCTTATATCCTCCCTATACTACTACAGCTGATGCTGTCTTGAAAGCATCACCTGCCCGCTAGAGGCCAACTAACACAAAACCAGCACACTAAGCAAAACTACAATCAAGGACCCTCACAGACTCCACTTCACTCTCCTGCTGCCTCCACAGGAGCAGGTACTGGTATCCATAGCTGAGAGACCTGAAGATGGATCACACCACAGGACTCTCCGCAGACATTCCCTGCGACAGTCCACTGGGTGGCTAGATCCAGAAGATCTAGTCACTGCAGCTTGGCTCTCAGGAAGCCCTATCTCTAGGGGAGGGGGGAGGATACCACATCAAGGGAGTACAGAGTGGGACAAAAGAATCTGAACAGCAGTCCTTGAGCCCAGATCTTCCTCTGACATAGTCTACCCAAATGAAAAGGAACCAGAAAGACAATTCTGGTAATATGACAAAACAAGTTTCTTTAATATCCCTAAAAGATCACATTAGCTTACCAGCATGGATCCATACCAAGAAGAAATGACTGAATTACTAGAAAATGAATTCAGAAGGTCAATTATTAAGCTACTCAAGGAGGCACCAGAGAAAGGTGAATACCAACTTAAAGAAATTAAAAAAAATGATATAGGGGGATCCAAGATGGCCGAATAGGAACAGCTCTGGAGTGCAGTTCCCAGTGAGAATGATGCAGAGGGTGAGTGACCACTGCAATTACAAACGAGTTTTTACTGCCCACAGACCAGGAGATTCAAGGGCTGAAAAGTGCCATGAGTTTCCAGCACGGCTGTCTCAGCCGGCACAGTGGGTCTCTGCACAGAAACTCACACAAATCTGGGTGGCCATTTCAACTGGTGCCCGGAACACCTGGGAGACAGAGCTGCCCATTCAACTGAAAAAAAAGGGGGCTGAAACAGAGAGCCAGGTGATCTGGCTTGGCGGGTCCCACCCCGACAACGACCAGCAATCTGAAACGCTCTGGATTGACAGTTTCTAAGCAAGCACAGGTGGAGCCAGAACAGTCCAGCTCTGTGGGGGGAAGGGTGTCTGCCATTGCCGAGGTAGTCCTCCACTACAGAGGCAGTCCACCATTACTAAGGCAATCTGCCATTACTGAGGCAGTCCACCATGACAGAGGCAGTCCACCATTACTGAGGCAGACCGCCATTACCAAGGCAGTTCTAACTATACCTCTATAAATAAAACTGCAAGGAAGTTCACATAGCAGCTGGGCAGAGCCCACTGCAGCTCAGCAATGCCTCTGCTGGCAGACTGTGACTAGGCTACCTCCTTGCTGGGCAGGGCATCTCTGAAAAAAGGAAGAAGTACATCAGGAACTTATAAATAAAGCCCCACCTTCCCAGGACAGAGCACCTGGGAAAAAAATGTGGTTATGAGTTCTGCTGCAGCAGAATTAAACATTCCTGCCCCGCAGCTCTGAATGGAACAACGCAGCTTACAGCTCAGCACCAGAGCTCCTATAAGGGACAGACTGTCTCCTCAAGCAGCTGTATACCCCGACTCCTGTATATCCAAAGAGACACCTCTGCAAAGGAAACCTCAGGCAGACATCTGGCAGGTATCCTTCTGGGACAAAGATAACAGACGAAGAAACTGGCAGCAACCCTTACTGTTCTGCAGCCACTAAAGGTGATCCCAGGCAAGCAGGGTCTGGAGTAGACCTCCAGCAGTCCTACAGCAGGGGGGCCTGACTGATGGAAGGAAAACTAAAGATCAGGAAGAAATAACTTCAACGTCAACAAAAAGGACATCCACTCAGAGACCCCACCTGAAAGTCACCAACTACAAAGACCACAGGTAGATAAATCTACAAAGATGGGAAGAAACCAGCACAAAAATGATGAAAACACCCAAAACCAGAATGCCTCCCCTCCTCCAAGAGATCACAACTCCTCACCAGCAAGGGAACAAAGCTGGATGAACGAGTCTGATGAATTGACAGAAACAGGCTTCAGAAAGTGGGTTATAACAAACTTCTCTGAGCTAAAAGAACATGTTCTCAACCAATGCAAAGAAACTAATAACCTTTAAAAAAGGTTTGATGAAATGCTGACGAGAATAAACAGCTTAGAGAAGAATATAAATGACGTGATGGGGCTGAAAAACACAATACAAGAACTTTGCGAAGCATATACAAGTTTCAATAGCCAAATCGACCGAGCAGAATAAAGGATATCAGAGATTGAAGATCAACTCAATGAAATAAAATGAGAAGGCAAGATTAGAGAAAAAAGAGTAAAAAGAAATGAAGAAAGCTTTCAAGAAATATAGGATTATGTGAAAAGACCTAATCTTTGTTTGATAGGTGTACCTGAATGTGATGGAGAGAGTGAATCTAAGCTGGAAAACACTATTCAGTATATTATCCAGGAGAACTTCCGCAACCTAGCAGGCAGGCCAATATTCCAGTGAACACCACAAATATATTCCTCAAGAAGAGCAACCCCAAGGCACATAATCATCAGATTCACCAAGGTTGAAATGAAGGAAAAAGTGCTAAGGGCAGCCAGAGAGAAAGGTCAGGTTACCCACAAAGGGGAGCCCATCAGACTCACAGCAGATCTTCAGCAGAAACCCTACAAGCCAGAAGATATGGGGGCCAATATTCAACATCCTTATACAAAAGAACTTGCAACCTAGAATTTCATATCCAGCCAAGCTAAGTTTCGTAAGCGAAGGAGAAATAAAATCCTTT